CCCCAAACAACACTCCACAACTCTATAAAAATTGAACTAGAATGGTAAATTAGAAAAAGAATATTATGAGAAATAATGTCGTTAGTCTTCTCCGCACAAGTTTGAATTCAGCAGCTTTTCCTCCAGACAAACAAATGTCTTGATGAAAGTCAGGAAAGCCGACCTGTCATCAGATAAACCGAGCAGCAGCACACTTTACTCATTAGTTTTAGGCTTTATTCATGTAGTAGAAGTATGAATCCATTCAGGTCAACAAGAACCAAGTTTTCCGTGGGACATTTTTACCAAGACGTTATTGGACATCAGCCCTCCTTCACCCAGTTGCTGCATGGTTTTTTAGAGTAGAAGGGTTTTATTTATTCACATATACATTAATATATTCATATGCACTTGCAATATAACAAAGAACAAAGAAGTGATCATATATGTGAAATGGTCCCCAAAGAAGCTATCTAAAGCTTATGCTCGGGGGCCATTACAATCAAAAAAAAAGAAAGAAAAACAAAAACAAGAAAATGTGTGGCCTACATATAAGACATTTCATACATAACTTTCACACAACACATTAAGGAATCCCATTTAACAAGTACAATTTTGTTTTACAGTTTACCTTGAGATTGTAGGAGTAACACTGACATACATTCAGAATATGAGGTAGTACATACATCAAGAAGATGAATACAAGCTTAATAGTTGTTTCTTCAGATTTTGTTTAAAGGAAACAAAAGAGCTTGAGTTTTCAGATTGTCATCCAGCTCATTCCAATCCGTTGGAAAAGCTTTGAGAGAAATCCCAGTATGGCCTGCAGCAAGTTTCAAATTGTACGGAGCACATTGTTTGTTAAAGGAGAAATGTGTCAATATAACATTTTAAATGAAATATTGTGCTGCTGCAGAGACATTCTGGCCTTTAAACCATGTTCTATAAACAGCACAGTTTAATATTAATATATTAATAATAATTAATATTTTTCAGCCCAACCTTGTAGACATTTTGACTTCCTGTGTCTTTGTGTGTGGGACACAGGAACTGTGAAATCAAATCAAACACATAAATATAACAGTGAGCAAAGCAGAGTGTTTGTCCTGCTGGGTTGGGGAGGAGCCGCTGATGGAAACAGGGATGGTGGAGGACATGTGGGGGTCTGGAGGAGGACAGGTGAGGGAAAGGTGGGGGACTGGAGAAGGACAGGTGGGGGACAGGTGGAGGACAGGTGGGAGACAGGTGGAGGACAGGTGGGGGACAGGTGGGGGACAGATGGGGGACAGGTGGAGGACAGGTGGGGGACAGGTGGGGGACAGGTGGAGGACTGGTGGGGGACAGGTGGGGGACAGATGGGGGACAGGTGGAGGACAGGTGGGGGACAGGTGGGGGACAGGTGGAGGACTGGTGGGGGACAGGTGGGGACAGATGGGGGACAGGTGGAGGACAGGTGGGGGACAGGTGGGGGACAGGTGGGCTGCACCGGCTGCTGTGTCCAAGCTACAAGTCTAATGCAGGTGTGGTGAATATTTTATTGGTCTGTAAATGTTGAAAAGAGACGAGCCGGAGAAGCAAAACACCCGAAACGCTTGACTTACGGCGAGTAGCCTCTACTCGACCAATCAGAAACGTGCCCCCCCCCCCATCAATCAATCAATTTCACTGTTTAATCCACCAGCTCTTTCCCATTATCTGATGATATTTGATCTGGAAGTCCCCACCTGCTTATGACCTCTCTACACAAAAACTTGGCAACCGACTGAACGTCTTTCGCTTGGTTGGACAGGCCTCCGGCCATCGTGAAAATCTATCCACAACCACTAGCATGTATCTTTTCCCAACTGGTTTTATCATATCGACAAAGTCAACAACTAACTCACGCATAGGACCCTTGGGGTGGGAATGTAACCAGGAGGAACAGTCACACCCCTGCGGACATTATTTTTCAGACAGATTGTACACCTGCCTATGACATAATCAATCTGTTCAAGAAATATGGTGCCCAAAAACCATACTCCTTTGTGATTTTTCCTAACCTCCCCCCTGGCAACATGAGCTAACCCATGTGCTTCCTGAATCATCAGACCTAACAGGTCCAGAGGTGCTACTATCAGTCCCTCGTGATTTCACCAAAGACTCGTAGAATCCTTAACAGCACCTCGGTCTAGCCATAACTGTTTATCAGTCATAGAAGCAGCTTCCTGCATCAAAATCACTTCCTTAAGCGTAATTCTGTCTTCCAAGTCCACCCCATGAGTGACCAGAAAAACCTTGCCCAATTTGTCAGCTCCTGTGACAGCTTTTGCAGCTTCATCAGCAGCTTTGTTCCCTTGTGTCACTCTTGACGCATCTGTTTTATGAGCTGCACACTTAGCTATCGCTATCTCTTTAGGCCTCATCATAGCATGCAACAGTTTTATTATTTGTGCGTGATGTTGTATCGGAGAACCATCCGTTTTCTTAAACCCCCGACCTTTCCACACTGCTCCAAACAAATTACATACATTATGTGCAAATGCAGAATCAGTATATATTGTCACTCGCTGTCCGTCTGCTAACAAACACGCTTCTGTTAGCCCTACAAGTTCTGCAGGCTGTGCGGATGCAGGCTGTGGTATCACTTCAGCTTTTTCAACAACAAGTCCAGTTCCTTGAGCTTTTACTACTGCATAGCCAGCACACAATTTATCTCCCACACGATAACAAGACCCATCAGTCCAATACTCCAGGTCTGCCTCACATAGTGGAAGGGCTTGCAAGTCTGATCTAAGCCTTGTGTAGCCTTGCCCCTACCTGTGCCTGCCACTTCCTGTCACCTTTGCCCTCTATATACACAACCATGTGCATCTAATCACTGCCACCCAGTGTCCAAATACCAATATAAATATATCTAAACAAAAATAAAATATCATACATAAATGGCTCCTACACAGCCAACGGCCCCTAATTGTCTTATATAACAATTACCAAAAAATAATTAAAAGGAGCTAAATACACTACACCTTTTTTCCTTGTTGGCAATTAATCTTCTTTAGTGATTCCTCTGTCTTCTTTTTTCAAAATAGTCATTTTTAGGGCCAGGGGTTCCAGAACATGGCACCTGTTGGGATCTGGTCTTTACCACCAGTCCTTGCTGTATCTAAATCTCAGTCTCTTTAATCAGACATATCTATCATTAAGATTCAAAACGTGGAGGAATGACTCGATGAACATAAAAAGAAAAGATGTGATTAATATTATAAATATGAACAGTTTTTACAGCTTCTTCCAGATTAGCAGTGTGAGATACATAATGTTTAATTTCCTTCAAATGTAGAGCAGGAACAGTCTTCATCAGGTAGGTAGAGACTGTTTCACCAGTTGAAGTTGTGATGAATCCTTTTCTAACACATTCTCACTCCCAAATTGTTACATTATGTTTGTCAGTAACCTTTTGTAACATAAATAAAACATCTAATATTGACACAGGAAATGAAAATCGTGTTTCTGTCTCTCCATCCCCCACCGCTTCCTTACTTGGACTTTTCTGTAAAATATCCGACTCTTTTTTAAATTTTAGGCTATTTATTAATCATATTAATTAATTAAAGCTTTTCAGCAATGTAAATATGAATTAGCCCAAAGGCTATTTACATCTGTAGTCCCTCGTCAGGGAGATGCACCTACCTTTAGCATTAAAAATCGACTCACACTTGCATCATTTAGTTCAGGTGAATAGCATTAGAGTTCGTTTTTCCCCTTGTTGCGGCACGGGTGCGCATCAAAAGGGGACCAAACAAGGAGGTCTCGGTACGCTTTCAAACGAACTCTGGTGCGGTTCGCTTGTGGTGTGAAAGCAAATGAACCAAACACAGGATTTTATGATAGCAGAAATGTGACCTGAGCATTATTTCCTAAGCTAAACCACTAATAAATCCATCTGCTGACAGCGACATGTGTTCAGCATCATTTATCTGTATAAGCCGCTATGTTTATAAAAATCATTTTATAAGGTATAGCCTACTTGTCAGCGCAGGTATTCCCTGATTAATAGGTTAAAATCTGTTAAGAAAGGAGTGCCAGTAGTATCTACTCCGTTTACCCTGTCAGTTCATTACTGACGGTGTACTATAGGCTAATAAGCCCTGAATTATTACTGTAGCCTGCTACATGTCCTGTCTTTACCGTAGCCTATTATTCATAACAGGCTATGTGGTTGATCTGCGGTCTAACGTTACTAATCATGCTTATAATAAATTATTAATTTGTGAGCTCTTTGCGATACAGATCAGAAGCACAAACTTCTGTCAGTCACCGGAGTTTGATTTCCCCACGTGGGTCTTGATAAATCTGTCCAATCAACAAGTCACCTGTAAGTCTGTGTAACGTCATGGTTACTTCTTTTGGTTTGTTTCTAAAACTGTAGTGTGAACCGGACCAGAATTGAAATGCAGCAGAGTATCATTGTTTCCACTTGGTCCAAATGAACCGAACTACGGGTGTGAAAGCGCCTGTAGACATTTGTTTTGGCACTCTACTTATTTTGTCAGGATGTATGAACATTTATTGATATTTATATATATTCAGGTTTCAGCTTGTTCTGGCAGAATGTCCTTTTGGGGGTTTTCAATAAAAGCAACACTGTAATAATTTTTTCTTTATCAGTTTTATGTTGTTTCTGGCTAAATTTCACACTAATACAAAATTATTATTTTAGAACAAAAAGTTTCCCCTCCAACAAAAAGTCTCTGAAGATGTTTATTGTCTGTGCTGGCTTGAAGGTCTTTCTGTGAGATCTTTATTTTATTGTTCTGTTATTGTGCCCTCTCGCTAAATGTACCTCTGTATCTCTTATGTGTTGTATGCAGTGTTGTGATTTATGAATTATGTTGCTTTGACATTACTTTTCTATTAATAAAGAAATAAAGTCCAATGCAGTCAGACTTCTCTCTGCAGACAGTGGAGTCGCTCCCTGCTGGCTGTTAGAAAGGATGCAGGTTTAAGGCTCTTCCTCAGTTACTTCCCTTTTCAGACCCGGAGGTTCCTGGTTGGTACAGACTGTCTGTTCACTCTTCTTGCTCGTGTGGTCTGCTTTTATATTTCTAAATTCTTTTCAGTCTTTGTTGATAGTTGTCCGTTTGCTTCCATAGAGTTGGATTTAAGTTTCACTTCTTCTGGTCCTTCTCGGATTATCTGCTTTTTCGCTTTGTGAGGAACCCTGGATGTTTAATGTGTGGTTCTTTTCTTTTGGATGGAGCCTAATTCCCTCTGTGGAATTAGGTCAGGGTCTTGTTCGCTGTGGACTACTTCACTTGGAGTTTTGGACATTGCACACGTTAGTTATACACTTTGTTGAATACCCAGACCTCCCCGCGTTTGTATCTGAGCACACGGCCTGAAATGTGACTTCCTGTGGTAAAACATTAAACAGCAGGTTTGAACTTGACCACCACTTTGGGTTTATTGTAGCTCAGAAGATGCACAGTTGGCTTTTCATTACTGAACTTCATTCTCTGCAAATAGTTGTATTGTTTTTCTCTATTCTTTTATATTCTTATAAACTTGAATCTGTCTATTACCTATTATACATTTATGTACGTCAACTGTTTGTCTAAGTGTAGCACCTTATCACCAAAGCAAAGTCCTCGAATTCCCTAAAAACTACTTGGCAACAAAGCTCCTTCTGATTCTGATTACCAAACACCAAGTAACTAACTGAGATAAACTCACGAGTCATTAGCAAACTGTACGTTTTAAGTGGTTGCTTACTTTAAAAAACTAACCTTCATCTGGGTGATCACAGGAGGTGATTATTTGATTGACACACAGACTGACAGGCGACAGACAGAAACACTCAGAACTATTATGGCATAGCCAGCAATATAAAACTGTTCAATTACTGGCATTTATAGGTGGACAAAAAACGTTGGGTTATTGATACCTCATTCCAGGTGTCAATCCAATTAATACTTTTATAATATTAATAATTTAATTAATTTTACTCTAATAATTTATAGCTAATAACCAAACCTTTCTCTACCTGAATCCCAGAAGACACGCTGCAGCAGCATTAATGCTGACAAGAATATTTTTACTCTGATGCAAATATGTTTATTTCAGTCCATTTTAGTGAAGAATACAAAAAGTAACATTCAGTTATTCACAATCCAGCAGAGGAACAGTCTGGAGAGTCACTGCAGTCTCTGCTTCCTGTCTCTGAGACTGTTTCTGTGAAATCATGTGACCACAGGGCGTCCTCCCTCTCTGCTGATACAAACTGATCTCTGCTCTGTCTCCTCAGCATCAGAGATCTCTGTGCAGCCAACAGGTGAACAGCAGGTGAGAGCACTTAATACTTTAAGACGTCCAGATCAGGAGTTAACAGCAGATAGTAAGTGCAGGAAACTTGTACTTAATGTATGAAGTATTCCTCCAGACAGACAGGTGATATTTCCTGTGAAGTTTCACTCTGAAACATGTTGTTGATCTGTGAACTGTGAAGCTGTTTCTGTTTAAAACTCTAAACTGTCACTTCATGTCATCAGTGAGAGAGTAAACAGCCACGTGATGAAATACAACAGTGATAGTGAAGGTCAGGGGCGATTACGGGCTGTTTGGGCCTCAGCCATAAAATGGAAGGCCACATAAAATCACAGAGCGGGGTCAGCGCATGCTGAGGCGCAGAGTCAACAGCTACAGACCTCCAAACGTGGTGTGGCCTTCGCATTAGCTCAGGAACAGTGCATAGAGAGCTTCATGGAAGGGGTTTCCATGGCCAAACAGTTGCATCCAAGCCTTACATCAGCAGTGGTGAAGCGGTGTACTGAAAACTTTTGCAATATAGTATATAGTGATGTTCCGATCGATCGTAAAGTATCGATATTTCTGATACCAACGTTTCCTGCTCTAGGATCGATACTCATGTAAAATGATCGATATCTGAACTCACTTGAAGTGAGTGTGTGTTTTATCATAAGTATCTTACTGTCACCAGGATGGTCTAATTATACTCTGTTGATAGGAACTACTTCTCCTTCCGCCTGTCAAAGTCATGCTTGCGTTATGGCTCTGTGACAGAGCTCCTTTGAAGTGAGCAGCTGCAGCTCTTTACATTTCACTTTTACATTGAATCCTGACTCTTGCTGACTGTAAAAACAGTCACGTCTGGCTGTATTTTAGCTGTGAAGGTAATAATGTTGTGTGTGATGTGTGTGCAAAGACAGTGAAATACTTTGGCAACACTGCAAACTTCGCTAAGGCTAGAATAATATTTTGAGACAAAAGTCATAATATTAAAGAGGTGGTATTCTGCTTTTTGGCTTTGTCCTTTATTGAATTATATTCCTTTTTTTGTGTGCATGTAATAGGTTTGCAAAACGTCCAGCCCAAAGTGAGTTCCCATCTCCCACAGAAAACTCTGCTCTGAACTGCCTGAAAACAGCTCATTTATAGTCCAGCCTTTACTTCCGCTTTCTTGTGATGTCACAAGAAAGTACGTGTCATAACGCTCGCCAAACAGCTACTCCGACACGCCCTCAGAAACAGCGAGCTGCAGCACACAGCTCTCCTCTCCCTTCCAAACACTAGCTACCCTCCAGGCAGTCAGTGGACATAAAGTTGTTCCTGTGATGTAGAGACAGAGCTCAGTTAAAACTTTATGGATACAGATTAATAACTCACCGCTCTGAAACTCTCCATGTCCATGTTGCCAAGCCGGTCGGCAACACGTACGGCTGAACCCGAGCTGTTTACCGGCTTCTCGCTGACCCGCCCTTCTCTGCTTCTGATTGGCTAGTAGTCCTTTTGTTTATTTATTTAGATTTATGATTAGACATATAGTCAATAAAAATACAAGTATATCTTAAATTCACAATGCAATCTATAAAATCATTATCACAATTTTTCCAACTATTGACACACAAGCAAGATAAACAGACACACCTCTGTCTATATTTGTCTGTCTCTCTCTTACCCCTGCCATCGCCTCCCTCATCCTTTCCCCATTAATGTTTCCTTCTCAAATTATTTCCCACACTTTTTTGAACCTGGTATCTTGTTTCCTCTGTGAGCGTCTCCCTCTTATTTTCTGGTAGCAGTCAGCCTTGGCAGCGGCTGCAGCTACAGCAGGTCAGTCGTAGTGAGTCAGTCCCAAATACTGTCAGCAATCTTTCCATCTTGTCATGGTCACATATTTGTTTCATCAGCTATAATATATATCTTATGTTTGTTTTAATATCTGTAGTCACAGATCACCTCCAGTAGCATCAGCAGCAACAACAGCAGCAACCACCCCTCGCCAGCAACTGTTCCCTGTAAGTTATGTCAGCCCACAGTGTTTTAAAGCTAGAGCTGGGTATTCACTGTGTCCCAGCATTTGCTGATGTATCGATACAGAAGCATCACTATACGCATATCAGCAAGGAATACGTCACAATATATTTCTGTATCGATATTGTCAGAACAGCCCTATTTAAATCCTTGTTCCATGAGCACCTTTTATACTTTGAGCACCGGCCGCTCAGAGGTCTCTGCACAGCCCTGGTCATAATAGTCTGCCCCTCTGCTGTGCATTACTGCTCTGCTGATATGGTAGGCTATCCCCTTTATGGCACATTTCTACTCCTGCGTAGGGTCTACGTGCGTAGCCAGGCATTTATACTTATGCATCGGTGTCTCCGTCATTCTGCAATTACATCCCCAAACACTAGCTGCCAGTAGCACTACAGCATACACTGTGTTGACTTTAGCCGTCCGAGCAGGCTAACTTCCGGTTTAGCCCTCCGCTAACATGAATGGGGGTTAAATTATATACATTCAGCTGCTGTAGACATTTCAGATGTTATCGACCGAATGGATCACATTCTGATAGTGAAACGAGTCATTTCGCTCGGGTTGTGATGGTCAAATACATTGATCCACCGTGTTACAGCCGCTGGTTTGGCCACTTGTAAAAGTTACTTCAAAGCACGGGGCACTTCCTGTCGATTCGGAGGCATTGCGAGGCTACCCAGCCGACCAATCACAGCGGTCTGGTGTGTCATGTTATTCTCTCGCTACTTTGCAGTGGACTGTTATCTGTTTGTACAGCAAATAAACTGACCAACAACATTTAAAGGTTCACTGTGTAAAATTTCTGAGGATCTATCGACAGAAATGCAATCTATAACTATGTTTTCAGTGGTGTGTAAAGACCTTACATAATGAAGCGTTATGTTTTTATTACCTGAGAATGAGACATTTATATCTACATAATGAATCATCATGTTTCTACAGTAGCTGAAAAAAGACAAAAAGACAAACAGCGCTACAGAGCGCGTTTTGCGTTTTTAAATACAGTCTATGGTTTCGTCACTGCGTTTTTCTTCCACTTCTTCAGGCAGTGCAGACACTCATCATTATGCTGAATACACATGTTAGAAGAAGAAGTAGTAGTAATATACAGCAGGGGTCTAAAATAAGTTTTGCATCAGAACAATATTTTCAACCATTAGATGGAGGATGAGAATATAAGCTATAAAATGACCTTGCATCAACATGTTGGTCAGTTAGCTCAGTCGGTAAGGCGCAGGACTCACAACCCAAGGGTTGAGGTTTTTCTCTCTTCAACAAATGGATTCTGCAGCGAATGTTTCTCAGATCACGGCATGTGCTGCACTGTTTTTTTTCCCGTCGTTTGATCCACATCCATCAACCCACGGACGCTTTTTCATTTCTCTGTATCTCAGGCAGAGGACATTTAGGGGAATCACGTTTTTCTGTTGGCTCTTTCAGAGGTGTGTCAAGCAGCTAAAGACTCTTTTAATGTCGTTCAGAGTTTTTCAAAGTAAAAGCTCAGTTCAACTCCAAATACAGCATTATAGTAAACGAGCTCCTGACGCCTTTATTTTTTAGGCAAAACCACTAGAGGAAGTGATTATGTGAGTAACTGTTGCTGCCATGACTGAGATCTATTTTTAAGCAAAGATTTATTTATTTATATTTTTTGTTGCTATCAAAGCACCATAATCTGGCAGTGGGCCAGATATTATTGTTGGCGGGCAGTTTTGGCGAGGGTCCATAATAATGATTAGACGAGAAAAAATAAATGGATTTAGTCCAACAGGATCTGACTGTGTTTAGTTTGTGATGTGGGGGAGGGAGGGAGCTGTTGTACTCAGCATGAGACACCAGGGGGCGTCCTCACTCCACAGAGAGAATTAATGTGTCTCCCTTGTCAATGTTTGTATAAACTTTATTTAATATGTGGTTTATAATGGACTGTGATGCAGAAACAGTGACAGTGTTTCACACTATTGGCTTACATTTTCCATGTTGTCTGTCAGTGTCAGAGTCACAATAATATCTGGTTTTACTGAATAATTCAGTAAATATCATTTTTTAATAAATCTACCTAAAGAAACCTCATATCTTGACTGGCCACTATCTGCTGTCTCAGAAGAGACACCTTTTGTGCTGTGTCAGCCACCGTAGCTGTCCTACGCTCTTTAGGGGGCAGTGGTAGACTGGATAGATGGTTGCAATTCACAACCGTCACCACTAGATGTCACTAGATGTTACACACTGAACCTTTAAGATCCAGTACCTGCTGACAGCTGCTGATAACAGCAGCACAGCTGACAGGAGGTCACTGATTGTTTTTCTTTCATCCAGAGAACCAATAAGCTGCTGTCAAGCTGTTACCATGGCAATGTGAGTAAAACTACGTTTCTACAACAACACAGAGTTTCAGAGTTTATTTTCTTGTTGAAATGCATCACGCTGCTGAATCCCATTTTACTGCATGATGTGAACATTTACAACGTGAGCAGAGTTAAGAGTGAAAACTGGAAAAGTGTCCGATTGATGTGACTATAGAAACAATTCAAATCTAAAAGAACCAGACTTTTATTATTTTATGAAACGTTAGAAGGACGCAGGTAGAAGTTGGAGAGGGAGCTTATAAAGGAAGAGTTTCATGGTCCATTACATTAAAACATTACAGCTTTATTAACCAGCCTCTGATGTACAGATACAGCATCTGAGTGTGTGAACAAACATCTACATCAGAAGTGCCTTGTTATATTCTTCATTAGCAGAAATTAATGCACAGCTGCCAGATAATAAAGGACAGTTCTTGGTGGTATAAAGACACTGAACTGCTTTAATGTGAGGTGGGGTAAGCAAGTAGAGTGATTTTATTTATTTCATTCTATGTTCAGTAGTTTTTGAGCTCATGTCTTTACTTTTCTACAGGAACAAATCCAAATATGAAGACATCATTTCCAAAAGTGTTCTGATCCAATCAGGACCTCCTGCTGTCTACCACCTGAGACCAAAGAAAGAGAACATTGGATCTCTAAGAAGAATGACTTTTGGTGAAAGAAATGTGAACAAGATAAACAAAACCATCTTGCTTGTGGGTGAAACAGGAACAGGAAAATCTACTCTGATCAATGCTCTGGTCAACTACGCCATGGGAGTGAAGTGGGAGGACGATGTCTGGTTTCACATCGTAGAGGAGGAGAAGAAGAAAGAGGATGGGGAGAACGAGGACGAGGAAAGAAGCCAAGCAGAGAGTCAGATATCAGATGTGATCGTGTACCAGATCTTTGGTTTTGAAGGTGAAACTCTGCCCTACTCTCTGACCATCATCGATACTCCTGGATACGGAGACATCAGAGGGATCAAACATGATGACATCATCAGTGAAAGATTATTAGACTGGTTCCGCTCAGGAGAAGTTCATGAGATGAATGCAGTGGGTCTGGTGCTGACAGCGAGTGTGAATCGACTGAATGACCGACTGAGGTACATCTTTGATTCAGTGGTGTCTCTGTTTGGAAAAGACATGGAGAAGAACATTGTTGCTCTCATCACACACTCAGATGGTCTGACACCTGAAAATGTTCTGAAAGCTCTCAAGACTGGAAAAATTAAATGTGCCAGAAATGAAAAGAATCAGCCTGTTTACTTCCTGTTTAATAACCGTCTGGATAAAGACAGAACAGAGGACACAGAAGCCCTTCAACATGCAGATAAAATAACAACCAGAGGAATGAGACAGTTCACAGAGTTTCTGGAAAAAACTGCACCTCAGAATCTGATGACAACTGTTGAAGTGTTGAATTCACGAATCAGACTGACAGCCTGCATCCAAAACCTGAAAGAGAGAGTTGAGTTCACTGAACTAAAACAGAGAGAAAACCAACAGACTCAGGAAGCTCTGAAGAAACATGAAGAAGAGATGAAGAGAAATGAAGAATTCACTGTAGAAGTTCATATGAGAGAGAAAAGAAGTAAAACTGGCTGTGAGGAGACAACAAGCTTTTTGGAAACTTTAGAAAAGCAAATGAAAGAACTTCAGAAAGATAAAGATCACTTGTTGGAAAAGTCCTTTGAACATGTTGTCAGACTGGATCAGATCGCCCTGAATGTTATCTCACTGTCCACTCAAGTCCACTTGGACTTCCTGATTGAGAAGATGAAGGAGAAAGGAGACGCAGAGAAGGTCCAGAAACTGGAGGAGATGAAAAGTCGAGTAGAAAAGATGATGGAGTCATGGCAGCTCTGCGGAACATGTTTGCTAAACTAACAGCAGCTGGTAAAGCTGGTAAAGCAGCAGTGAAGTAGCAGGTGAACACCATCAGTGTGAGCAGCAGCTGTGTAGAAAACAAGCTCTACACTGTTGATCCAGATGTTTAAACATCACAAAAGCTTTTTCATTCTAGTTCTATGAAGTGTGATGATGATGTCATAAGTTCATGAGGAAATTCAAATGTAATCACCTTTTAAATGTCAGATGTGTACTTCCTGGAAACAGCGCCCTCTGTGGTGTGGAATGACTGCTGCTCTTCTTGTACTTCCATGTTTGCTCACCAATAGTGAGTTCAGTGTGCAGATTATCATCAGTGCTGAATCATGGCAGCAGATTTATTGGTGTTGAACAGCTGTTAGTTTTCTCTTCTAATCATGTGTTTTCTCCACTATGATTCTGTTTGTGCTTGTATGAATAGACGTGTCTTATATATCCACCATGATGTCACAATGTTGAAGCTGTTGGGAAACTAAAGTGAACTCATTATAAAGGAGTTTAGCCTGGAGGGGGGTTGAAACCTCTTCCTGTGTTCTGAGAGTGTTAATAATATATCTTAATATCTTTCTCAATAATAAAGAAGATTACAGTTAATGTGTGTTGTATCAAAGTCCTATAAGAGCTGAGGACAGACTGCCTCTCCTCAGTCACACCTGTGTAATGCTGATGATGCTCTGACCTGCAAACAATAAAGATCTGCTGACATTATGAATATTGTGTCATCTGGGATTTGAGTTCCAGCTCTCATCTGCACTAGACAGCAGTTTAATAATGGCAATAAACAAAATCCAAAAGGCAGGAAATCCAAGACACAGGTAAACACAGAGAAAGGGCCGCTACGCTCGAGCAGAAGACAAAGACAAACTGGCTGAAGACAAAGGAAGCAGGCAGATTTTGAGTTCCTGTTTTATTGTGAAAGGGTTTGTCTTGTACGACTGAAAGGGCAGAAAGAGACAAAGATTCCTCTGAGCAACAGTTAAATAAGAATATAAGAAGTTGAAATATGAACAGCTTCCTGTTTCAGGGTCAAGTTCACAGTAACGTCTATAAGAAGCTGGAATTAACAGACGTCTCTTCTGTCAGGCAGCACTGTGGGGACATCAACTAAATGGACGTTTTAATCATTTAATTCTTCTTTTGGGGCCAAAACTATTTCAAAATAAGCATTTCCTGAAAACATCACTATAGCAGGTGATTCCAGCCTTGAACTGTAGCGAACATATAAAAGTGTTTTCTAAATCAGTGTGCACAGAGGACGTTCCAGAAGAGAAGTCAGACAGAAAGCTGCTGCTGTGTTTGTGAAGAGTCCTGAAAGCTGATGTCCTCTGATGGATTTCTACGCTGCTTTCTTCCTGTGTCTTCGTGCTCTGAATGACTAGTTCAGATATTTCATGTGGAAACATGTTGATCCTTTATGTTGAGCTTTAGTTACATGAAAGCATCCTGAGTGCTGCAGCTTCCTGTGAGCTTCATGAAATCAGTTTGCTCAGAGTGTCTTCACTGGATCAGCAGCAGCTTTTGGACTCTGCTGAAGCTTCTGCTGAACTTTCTTCTGTTCTCTTTGGGAGTTTGTGAGGAGCAGCGGGTCTGACAGAGATTGGTTCCAGCTGATGTTTCATCACGTGATCAGCTCTGTTGGTGATGCTTCCTGTAGTGACCACTAGAGGGAGCCAGCACTGCATTACTGAAGGCCTTCTGCTGAGTGGACTGAGCGCACTCTGCTGGACTAAAGCAGGAAACACAAACCTGCAGCCCTGCAGAGACCTGCAGGTCCACCTCATGTGGAGTTAAGATTCAATTGGTTTGCAATTTATTGGTTATTTAACCAACTAACTAAATAAATTGCTGCTAACCTGATAATCAGCTATAATCTCCTTGATAAATGTGTTTTTATATAAAACAAACTCAACTCTTATCTGTGATTGATGATTGGTTATGTTACGGATTTTAATTTTTAACCCCCTTTGTGCCTGGCCGTTCCCTCAGATCAGGGGATGTAAATGTAAATGTAAATGCTCCGTACTTGTATAGCGCCTTTCTAGTCTTTTCGACCACTCAAAGCGCTTTTACACTACAGCTGCATTCACCAGTCACACTCACTCATACACTGGCGGAACAGCCAGGGGCAATTCGGGGTTCAGTATCTTGCCCAAGGACACTTCGACACGCAACCAGGGGGAGCCAGGGATTGAACCGCCGACCTTCCGATTAACTGAGCCACAGCCGCCCCCAATCTGGATCTGCTGGTTGTTTAGATCCCGGCTCGTGACCCTTGCTGAGACAGGTTACATCATTAGCATCTTCTAAATCCTTCTCAAATGTTTAATATGTTGTTGGGAACATGAACTTGAAAACATGTAGTCTATTAAGATAAACACATAAAAGAGTAGCTTCTTATGTATATAATAAAAGTGCTGCATGGGTGTAAAAGATTAACAAAGAAATTAATCAGAAACACTGTTTATATATTTTTAACAGCTGTAAATACTGTGATACAGAGTAGAAGAATGCTCTGCATTAGTAACAAAGAACAAAGAATAAATTAAGGCAACAGGATAAAAAATTTCTGTAGGCCTGTATCAGTTGTGGGCACTTTCAATTGTTTTGCATCTGCATTTCCTCAGAGCTCTGCCAGGGTTTATGTTTTATCATCATGAAGCTCTGGTAACTCTGTGTAACTGGAGATACGTCCACCTGAAACGAGTATACAGGTCTTTATTTTCCAGATTATTCCCATACAAACACATCTCCTGCTTTCCAACATGACATGATGACTTTTATTGAAAAATTGAATTAACTGTGGAAAGGTAGTTGTGATATGATGATTTGATGTGATATGCGAGCAGCCCTGCTAGTAGTAACACCACATCCCTAAATCATGAAGATATCTGTAATTTTCCAGCATTTAACAACCCTTTCCTCCTGCATTTCCCCTGTCTCAGCTCTACCTATTCTTTCTCTCATTCTGCTGTGCATCTTTTCTCCACACTGGTCGGCCACGCACACTCACACACTGACTGAACGCTGTGTTGATGTGTGTGTGCATGTGACCTGTCGCGTGTGATGACAGAGATCACACCATCAGGTTAAAAGCAGGCGGGAGGCTGACGGTCTACAGGTCTGAGGGACTGTGGCTGCCCTGTAACAGATTGAACTTTAATATTCTCTCATATTTAGCGTGCACCACTGCTCCGTGCGGTGGCACTGCAGGAAAGAATGAGGTTAAGTAGATAATTAACGGCAGGCTAAAACAGTCCTCAGTCCGACAGCCAGTCCGCGAGTTTAATCTCCACAGCACCAACTTGTTTACAGTGTTGTTGGTGAAGATAGGTTTCACGAGTGGACCAATGAGCAAACACTATGTGCAGGTAGTACTCATGGAGTTGTAGCGTCATAGTGTCAAATAGCAATTAATTTGTTATTTCAGATGCCTTCTGAAAAGACCACAAATTCACACAGTCACAGTCACTGACTGTGTTACCCGCCACGGATGAAATCCACCAGCATTTGATTTGACGGGTGTTAATGTCAAGCCTTGCCACCATTATTTTCCAGCACTGCCTTAACCCTCTTGTGCATGGAGTTCACCAGAGCTTCACAGAGCTTCCTCTTCCACTCCTCCATGACGACATCACGGAGCTGGTGGATGTTTGAGACCTTGCGCTCCTCCACCTTCCGTTTGAGGAGCCCCAACAGATGCGGGTTCAGGTCTGGAGACATGCTCGGCCAGTCCGTCACCTTTACCCTCAGCTTCTTTAGCGAGGCAGCGGTCGTCTTGGAGGTGTGTTTGGGATCGTTATCATGTTGGAATACTGTCCTGCGGCCCAGTCTCTGAAGGGAGGGGATCCTGCTCTGCTTCAGTATGTCACAGTACATGTTGGCATTCATGGTTCCCTGTTTACTGGTTACCACTGACTTATTCCAGCGTCCTTTGCACTTTTCTCCATCGCACTCTATACATGTGTACATGTACAATGCCTATAATAGTATTCACTCCCTTGGATGTTTCATCTTCTTTACCTTCTATATGTTTAATTAATTGACATTAGTTTGTAAAAATCTGTTTTCACTTTGATATTAAAGAGGTTCTCTTTGCAAATTCTTTTAAAAAAAGCTAAATTATATTGACCATGATTTCATGTATAAAAGAAACAACATTTTATAGGCATCGTATGCATGTATGTGTAGCTGTATATCACATCCACCTCCGACATGTACATAACACTAATAAGTATGATAATAATAATTTACTCCTGCATACTTTGCCCTCTTCATTGTCTCAATTTGTCTATATTGTTTTTGTTTCTGTTTATAGTGTGTACTGTATGTATTGGTGTTGTCTACACTGTAGCCTGTGTTGGATTTATTGTTTTATCTTATTTTATAATTGTGTTATTGTATGAGTAAGCACATCGTGCGCAATATGCAATCCTTCAAATTCCTCGTATGTGTACACATACCTGGCTATAAAGCTGATTCTGATTCCAATGAACTGTAGCTCCACAGTGCCGGCAGCACTCATGCAGCCCCAGACCAGGACTCTCCCACCACCATGCTGGACTGTAGACAGGACACACTTGTCTTTGTGCTCCTCACCTGGTTGCCACCACACACGCTTAAACCAAATAAGTTTATCTTGGTCTCATCAGACCACAGGACATGGTTCCAGTAATCCATGTCCTCAGTCTGCTGGTCTTCAGCAAACTGTTTGCGGGCTTTCTTGTGCATCATCTTTCGGAGAGGCTTCCTTCTGGGACGACAGCCATGCAGACCGGTTTGATGCAGTGTGCGGCGTCTGGTCTGAGCCCTGACAGGCTGACCCCCCCCACCCTTTCAACCTCTGCAGCAATGCTGGCAGTTGTGTATTTCCCAAAGACAACATCTGGATATGACGCTGAGAACGTACATTCAACTTCTTTGGTCAACCATGGCGAGGCCTGTTCTGAGTGGATCCTGTCCTGTACAACCGCTGTTTGGTCTTGGCCACCGTGCTGCAGCTCAGTTTCAGGGTCTTGGCGGTCTTCTTATAGCCTCGGCCATCTTTATGTAGAGCAACCATCAGAGATCCTCAGAGGGTTCTTTGCCATGAGGTGCCATGTTACATCATCCTACATAATTTTTTGTGAGGACATGTGTGTGCCGACCAAAACCCTGCACACATACAACAACCAAAAACCCTGGTTCACAGCGAAACTCAGGCAGCTTCGTCAGACCAAAGCGGAGGCCTTCAGAATCCTGTACAACCGGGCCAGGAACAAACTGACTAAAGAGGTCAAAGCTGCAAAAAGGAGTTACGTCAAAAAGCTAAATAACAGCTTTTCAGCCAACGACCC